ACCAGAGTAAATCGTACAAATCAAAAGTACCGTTTCCCAAACTAGAGCTAGGGTTATCTTGCGAAAATGTAGAAGAAAAATCTTGCATGCATATCCTTGATTCTTCCTTACAGCGAAGATGTTTCGTCACTGCACTTCGAGTTCAAGAAGAAAGAAAGCACATTCAACTTTCAACAGAACAGAATCTAACAACACTCAAGGTCTTCTCACAAAAAAAAAACGTACAACAAAGATTGAAATTCTAGATCTAAAATCTGATCTGGTCTATCTTTTACAATGCACAAAAATTAACTATTTCAGAAATCCTCTTTTCTTTGTAGCCGTCCATCTTCTTTTTCATCCAACGGTGAAAATATGTTCCTTGCTTCTTTTTAAAAGTTGATCCACGTGCCTTCAGTATTCTTTTACCTGAGCTAAAAGTAAAATAGAGAGAACACGTAAGAAAACAAGCTAATCACTTCTCCTTATCTTTTTTACCTTCCTTTTTTACATGGGCCATTTTAATCCTCTTTTGGGCCCATTTACCTGCAAAATCAATTATTCACAGCCCAAAGAGATTTAAAATAATATAAAATAATACAATAAATATATATATATAATTTAGTGCTAACATTGAGCAACATCATCTTTTGGTTGTTGTAGCTAATGGAGTAATTTGGATGATCCGGCGTGTTATCGTCGCTTAATTGGTCGTTTGGTATATTTCACAATTATGCAACCTGAGTTGTGCTATAGTGCTATGCAATTCATACTTTATCTCAATTTATCTAGGCTCCTAAACAACCACACTTTAATGCAGTCATGCACATTTTGCGCTATATAAAGTCTAATCCAAGCCAAGGTATCTTGTTCCCATTAGAAAAGAACTTACAGTTGTATGCTTATTATGACTCCGACTAGACCAGCTGCCCACTTATGCATCTATCCCTTATAATATATTTTATCACGCTTGGTTCATCTCTTGTCTCCTAGAAGACTAAAAAGTAGGCAACGATCTCTCGCTTTTCTGTTGAAGCTTAATATCGCTCCATGAAACCATTACTTCTGAGCTCCTTTGGCTGAAGTCCTTTCTTGCGCATCTTGGGGGACACCACCAAGCACCTATGCAATTATTTTGTGATAATCAAGCCGCATTACATATCGTTGTCAACCCTGTCTTCTACGAATGCACAAAACATATCGAGCTCAATTGCCATTTTATCCACGAGCACCTCTTGGCCTAAACAATATCTACCGCCCACATTTGATCAACTATGCAGCCGGTGAACATATTCACCAAGGCATTAGGGTGTAAGGATTTTTATTTTTATCTTGGCAACTTGAGCATTTCGTCTCTTCATACTCCAACAGGAGGGAGAGTGTTACGCTACCATGCGATTTGAAATTCATAACCGTTTGAAATTCATCTGTAATTGTTTGTTTTATTTGATGTATTATTAGAATTATGTAACTGTTAGATATCATTAGGTTGACAATTATATATTAGCATTATTATTTTAATGGCCCAATGTAACTGAGCAATGTAACCCAGTGTCTATAATAAGGGAAGCTTGATTTTTGAATACAACGAGTGATACTACATTTTAATAATCGTGTTTGAATTATTTGGCTAAAGTGTGTTGTCATTTATTCCAAAAGCTGAAGCATGTATATTTTTGTAACAAGAGTTACACTACTGGTATATGTTTTGCATTATGGAGTGCATGTAACTTTTTGATGTGTCTTGTGTTATTTGAGAAAGTAATTTTCACAGGTTAGAATAGAAACCTGGATTTAGTCACTCATGGAAAATCTGTCAAAGCTATTGGCTTTTTTGTCTTAGATTATTTATTTAGCATAGAGTGTCATATCTTTTGACTATATTTGTATGATTCCTTTCAGATTAACAATACTGAGAAGTACTTGAATAAATTTAGTGCACTCAACTTGAGACTAAATAACATGGATTATTACGAAATTCCAGCTTTTCTTTCAAATTCTATTATTATTCTTTCTATTATTTAAATATTTATTTGTTTAAGAGAAAAGATAACATAAATAAAAATAAGCTGAGCTTATGTTTTTATAAATTCAGCTTATGTTTTTATAAAACATCTAGCATTGAGAGACAGTATAAAAGAATATAATGGTTTTCTTTAACTGTTTATATATCTAAAAGTATTACCACTAGGATTAGCCTAGTGGTGTTGGGTGTGTGTAGTGTGTATTAGGTTGCAAGTTCGATTCTTGTAATATTCAAAAATATATATATATATATATATATATATATATATATATATATATATATCTAAAAGTATTAAAAGCATAACATTATTATTTGAATGATTTTATAAATGTTGATTGAATATATCATATGAAATTACATGAAAAGAACAAAAGTACTCTTTAATTGAATGATTTTAGTCATTGTTGATCCGATTTATCACGTGAATTATCTTAAACTTGTGATTTTTTATGCCAGCACACACAATTTTATTTTATTTTTGTGTACGTGTTATTGATTATGTTTATGAACGATTGTAGGAGAATTTTTTGTCAAAACAACGCAACTAAAAATAATGGATCCGGAAACGTGAAAAATCACATGACATGGTAAAATGGGAAATCATAACCATACAAAGGTGAATCAATGGTAATAAAAGCGGAGAGAGAAAAAATAGAAAAATAGGTAGTTACAAAATCATAACCATTGATTTAACTTTATATGGTTGTGATCTTCTCACATGACCATGTCATGTTTTTACTCACATCAGAGGATCCATTTCCAAAAATAATAGGTGTTTAATCTTAGGACATCATGACTTATTTTCAACACCTGTCTTTAATTTTTTTTTAAATTCCTTTTAATTCTTTAAATTTTCAAAAAAAAAATAAATCAATTTTACTTGTGAATTGTAAGTATTCTTCCATTTCCAATATTATTATTCTTATTAGCTAATGTTAACAATTTAAATTTATTTATATGTAACCAGAATAAATATTTAAATGAGGCGGCATAATAACTGTTTAGGGAAAAAAAGTGAAAGTTGCTTACAATTTTTCTGAGTTTAATAATTAAATATCAACGTAAATTAATATTTTTATAACCAGTCAATATTTTTTTATGTTTTGATATCTTCACCAAACTACAAATGCTCAAGTCCTATAATTTAACTTTTTATTTTTCCTGTATTTTGAATAAGAATTATCTAAAATAAAAATCATATCTATATAGATAGAAAATAAAATAAAATAAAATAATGTTAAAATTATAAAGCAGAATAAACATTTAAAGTGAAGTGGCAGCTTCTATATATATTGACCGGTAACAGAAAAACATTGGTAGCTTTCAAGAAACCAAAACCCAATTCACAAAACCCAATTCACCAAAACCAAATCCTCCCAGTAATGGCATACGACGCTGATGATGTCTCTGTTTCTTTATCCAAGAAGAGAAAGATTTATGAAGAAACTCATGTTGTTGCTGCAAGAAAGTGTGTAGAGAGAAGTTGGGGTTACTCTTTGGATTTGATGCTTTATGATGACCCTTGGAAGATCAAGAAAGTCCTCAATGGCAGTGATCTTAGCAACATGAGTAGGCTCTTGCTCCCTAAAGATTTTGCTGAGAATTTGGTGGTGCCGGTGTTGGATGGAGACGTTGAAAGAGGTGTTCAAGTTGAGATTTGGGATGTAGACACTTCCTCCATTCATTCTTTAATTTTCAAGAAATTGGTTTCTTCAAGAAGCTATGTTTTCATTGGAAATTGGGTTAAAGATTTTGTATCAAGAAGAGGCTTAAAGAAAGGGGATGAGATTGGCCTTCATTGGGATCCATACAAAAATCGCTTTAATTTTTCTGTTCTTGATGCCTTTTAGGATTGATAACAGTATTAGGATTCATGTGTAGAAAAAGATGTAGTGATAATTTTCTCTTATTCTGAAGCAGAATTTATGGTTTAAAAATCGCTTTGATTTCGTTTGTTCAATTTGAATTTTTTGTATTGATTTGAGTTTAAAAATAGCAAGCAGAATTTATTTGAGTTTTTTTTCATCCTTATAGGTACTATAATTCCAGAACCATCTGTTGCAATTTTCTTCAGGGGGGTGTTGTTGCTGCATTAGATTGTCTGCGCTGACTTTGCGTTTACCTTCATTAATTGGAAAGAAAAGATAGATTATAACTATCAGAACTTAAAATTAAATGTCACATGGAAAGAGTAATTAAGTTGGGAACCATTTTAGTTATCTAAAGCAAAACTCTGCTGATATTAAAATACTAAGGTCAGAAGATACCAGTCTTGATCCAAGAGCTGCTCTATCCCCTTAATGGCACCATAGTGTTGAGTTAGAGCTTTTGTAGGGTCCAAGAAAGAATGAAGAAATGTCTTTGTCACCCGGGGCTGAAGATTGTGATATGTATGCCCATATCTGTAATTTTGTAATTGCATAAGGATGTAAATCAAATATTTTTTATTTTCACACTATGTATTAATTTATGAGAAAAAGTACTAGTTGTTCAATTGCTACATGTAATTGTGTAGAATACACACCTAACCACATTATATTCAGGGCATAAGTCAGCAACCAGTTCTACAAAATCAACATAGCGACGATTCTGTTATTGCTATTTGTAATTTTATGTACGCAACCAGTTCTACATAAAATTCAAGACATATTTCTTAGTACGAGTGATTCTCTTATTTGATTAACTTTTTTATGGGAGCAATTCTAATTGCAATTCAAATTTGCAAACCATAACATTTAACAAATTTAAACCATATATTCAGATTGTTCTTACAATCCAAAAAATTCAAATTGCAAAACCAATAAGAACAAGAGAAAATATCAGTACACCCTCTCTACAAAAGGAATTCTATTATTGCTATCAATGCTAAATGGCATCAAGAACACAAAAATTAAAGCGATTATTGTATGGATCCCTGAAGGCCTATCTCATCCCCTTTCTTTAAGTCTCTTCTTGATACAAAATCGTCAACCCAATTCCCAATAAAAAGAGAGATCTAGAAGAAACCCATTTCTTGAAAACTAAAGAATGAGTGGAGGCAGTGCATGTCCACATCCCAAATCTCAACTTGAACACCTTTTTCAACATCACCATCCAACATCGGCACCACCAAATTCTCACCCAAATCTTTAGGGAGCAAGAGCCTGCTCATGTTTCCAAGATCACTGCAATTGAGGACTTTCTTAATCTTCCAGGGATCATCACAAAACATCAAATCGGTTGAGTAACCCCAACTTCTCTCTCCGCAAACCTTCTTTCTTGCGGCAACAGAGGTTTCTTCAGAAATCTTTCTCTTCTTGGTTAAAGAAACTGACACATCTTCATCGATTGTGTTGCAATGACACTTACCAAGTGACAAATGGGTACATACCATTGTATTACAAGGACGCCTAGCAAGTGATAAATGAGAACAGAGATCAACGTTGTTGTCGTATGCCATTGTTGACAATAACACAGTTGGAGTTTGTTTGGTTTCTTGAAAGCTTTAAGGTTTTTCTGTTAATTATGTTGTGAGGGAAGCACATGATGAAGGTCCAATATATATAGAAGCAGGACCAGCTGGTTATGTAACGTTCTTATTCTGTTTTATAAATTTTCTTTTTTTTCTTTTTTGTTTTTTCTATTTAAGTATAATTTATATCTTAAAAAGTTTTTATTTAAAATATAGGAAAATAAAAAATTAAATTATACGAGTTGAGAGCTTGTATATTGTGAAAGTATCAAAACAAAAAATTATTGATTGATTACAAAAATGTCCATTCACATTGATTTTTATTTAATAAACTAAGAAAAACAGTACGCAACTTTCGATTTTTTTCTTCTCTACACTGGTAATATTAGCATTTTCTAGCTTAATTGTTACAAAATATTAATAAATTTAAATCGTTAGCATTTGTTAATAATAATAAAAATAATTCACATGTAAAATTGAAATTTAAAGAAATAAAAAGAAAAAGAAATTAAAGGGGTGAGTTGAATTAAGGGCTTTTGCTATTTCTTTTTATTAAAAAAATAATGGATTCGGTCTTGTTATTTTCAAAATATATTTAAAATATTCATAACTCTTCTATGATTAAATCAACGCAAAAAAATTTCTAATTTGTTCCTCCCTTTATAGTCCATTAATTTATCGCAAGGTACAGCAAATAATAAAAATGATTATTTGAAAAAAACAATATGAAATAATATACAACTTGCACAAATAATAAGGAATATAATAAAGGGAGCCATCTAACAATATAAAAACTACAATTATTCAATAAGACTTAAAAATTTTCAAATGCTAAATTGAACTCAAATCAGTTTATATAAGGCATAATGTTTAATCAAAGATATAATTATTTGGGATAAGATATTATGTTTATTTTTTTTCATACTTACTCATCTCTAACATCATTGGATAAAAATTTCCAGAGAAGGGAGAAAAAATGAAAGTTACTTGAGATCCTGATCTAATAGTGTGGGAGATGAGTATGTAAAGTAGGCATGAAAAAAATAAATAGAATATCTTATCTCTAAGCTCCTAGTTACACAATATGTTCACTTACATTATTTTTAGACTACGTCAAGAAAAAATTAATAACAAACTTAAATTCTCATTTATACATAAGTCATGATATATATTACAAAAATTCAGGCATTTTGTGAGGGTCATATTTTCATATTGTGGGGTTCCAGACCCCCACAAACGTTGCACTTTCTGTAGATTCAAGGCCCCCACAAACGTTGTATTATTTCTAGAAGTTTACAAACCTCCACAATATGTTTGACTTTTTGTCTTTCAAAGACCCCCACAACGTTTATCATTTTCTAGAGGTCATAGACTCCTACAATTTTTTTATTTTTTATTTTGGTAGGTTTAAACTATTAAATACTAGGTATCCAAAAGCAACACTATAGCACACCAATCATAGTTCATATTCATGCTTGCAGTTGGTTAATACTTTTTTACATAAGTAAAAATATAAATACACTTTAACACCGATATACTATACTATGAAGTTGAACTAATATCTAGCAAAACAAAAACTTACATAGTATTTTTTTGTCTAATGAAGGGCATAACAACATTCAGAGTAGAATATGCCTCACTATAATTTTACACATTCATAAAAGAAATAAAGTTTATTCAATGTTGTGTAAATGAGAAAGAGTAAAAAATTTACAATTATCCACAACAAGAACATAAAATAAATCCATTTTAAAACTCTGAAATCCATACGAGTCTCTAATTATGCACTTATCATTTTACAGAACCCAAAATCATAGCAAAAATATTGAATTTACTTAACCCAATTCAAGGGTGATTACTATCTAATGAAGATCTTCTGCGTGTTGGGATAGCTTCTTCACTTCCTTCGTCATGTGAAAAACTAATTTATTGTACCCTTTTAGCATGCTTAAAAGAATGCGGCAGTTAAACTAATAATATGGATTTCAACATTAAAATAAGCATATGAAGTCATTACCTCTAGTGTAAAAGCGGTACCAAACAAAGCATCAACTCTGGACGAAAAATAGTCAAGTATAAGAAATTCTTTAAAAATATATAATCAAATCAATGCTAGTGTATGAATGAAAGAAAAATAAAATAAAATAATAAACCACCAATATTTATACATCTTAGTGCCTGAGCTAATATCTGGCTGCAACTCAGGGGGACAATAAAAAATAAGAAGACAATGAGTCTAGATTTCATGCAAATTTACAACTTCAGCAATCATTGCAGTCGATGAAAAGATTAATACATTGCTCGTATGTCTTAAAGGATAAAAGGAGCTAAAGGTTGCAAGATAGAATACTAAAAGCTCAAGCCCTTTGTTATTATTACTAATATTGAGGTGGAGGATTGGACTTTGATAAGGTAAGCAAATGCTTCCTCCAAATAAAGCTCCAATAGTGACCAAACTTACTAGGAGCAGAAAATTTATACACATATAAGTGAAGTGGTAATTTGATCTCATTTGGAATCTTTATGACATGAATTATAACCCTTGATGTATAAAAAGAAAAACTAATTGAACATGTGACAGCTCCAAATATAAATAATCTTTCAGATCCTTTTTCCTCTCATCTCTTGATTACCTATCTACCGGTCAAATGAATTATAATCCTTCTCTCTCTCTTCACTCAGTATATCTTTCTCCCTTCCCTAGTTATTGCATTAATATCAAATTTAAAATTATCTGTCTATAGTATACTTATGAGACGAGCTGAACAAATTAAACAGTTTTTTCTTATAAAAGGAAATAAGTTGAACAAATAAATATTATCTCAGACAGTCAATAAAATAATTTCCGTCACTTGCAATTTTAACACCAGAATACAAACAGTTGCATTGCAGCCGACGATTAACTACAGAAAAACACAATAGCAAGATTGAATAGAGCTGTGGACCATTAACTAAAACAAGTCACATTATCTGAGAAAGGAACAATGACAGATTCAAAGTGCCGTCATATTGTTTAGATAAGAAGAAATAGATGCAAAAGAGCTTCCTTTATGAATAGAAATATTGGCATGCATCTCATGTATTGTGATTTAATATAAAAAATAAATCAAGATTTGATGTGTGATTTAAATTTAAAAAATAACAATTATTATTAATAAGGAAAACAAAATAAATATTTAAATTTTGATTTAAACTCAAAAATTAATTTGAAAAATCTGTATTAATAAAGAAAATAATTAAATAAATATTCTTAATCTCTAAGGAAGAAGGATTACCTGATTTAAATTTAAATTATGATTGTGAGAAATAAAATATATCACATGAGATGTCATTTCGTAGATCTCGAAAAATTATGTGGAATCAAAAAAAGAATTACCTAATTTGGATACCCGAGTTAAAAGTTATGGCCTTCAGAAGTTTTATGATTAAATGATTTTATTTTTTTGGAAAAAAATAAATGACACGTGTCGACACCTGATAAGTGACGCCTAAATTAGGCGTGATTGCCTCTTGAGTAACGCCCAAATTGGACGTCATATTGTGCAATAAATGTGTAATTATTTTCAAAACTGTAATAAATACATAATTAATTTATTAAAAAATCTTAAATTAATTTCTTTTCCTAAGAGTTTGTTATCCCGAAAATCAAGATGCCCTTGGTTATTTAGTCCTACAAAAATTCCCACACATAAAAGTAAAATAATTGTTCGAACAAATTCAAACATAAGTGAAGTGGCAGCTTCTATATATATTGACCGGTAACAGAAAAACATTCGTAGCTTTCAAGAAACCAAAACCCAATTCACCAAAACCAAAACCTGTCAGCAATGGCAGACGCTGATGATGTCTCTGTTTCTTTATCCAAGAAGAGAAAGATTTATGAAGAAACTGATGTTGCTGCTGCAAGAAAGAAGGTGTGTGTAGAGAGAAGGTGGGGTTACTCTTTGGATTTGATGCTTTATGATGACCCTTGGAAGATCAAGAAAGTCCTCAATGGCAGTGATCTTGGCAACATGAGCAGGCTCTTGCTCCCTAAAGATTTTGCTGAGAATTTGGTGGTGCCGGTGTTGGATGGAGACGTTGAAAGAGGTGTTCAAGTTGAAATTTGGGATGTAGACACTGCCTCCATTCATTCTTTAATTTTCAAAAAATGGGTTTCTTCAAGAAGTTATATTTTCATTGGAATTGGGTTAAAGATTTTGTATCAAGAAGAGGCTTAAAGAAAGGGAATGAGATTGGCTTTCATTGGGATCCATACAAAAATCGCTTTAATTTTTCTGTTCTTGATGCCTTTTAGGATTGATAACAATATTAAGATTCATGTGTAGAAAAAGATGTAGTGATAATTTTCTCTTATTCTGAAGCAGAAAATAGCAAGCAGAATTTATGGTTTAAAAATCGCTTTGATTTCGTTTGTTAAATTTGAATTTTTTGTATTGATAGCACCAATAGCAAGCAGAATTTATTTGAGTTTTTTTTCATCCTTATAGGTACTATAATTCCAGAACCATCTGTTGCAATTTTCTTCAGGGGAGGTTGTTGTTGCTGCATTAGATTGTCTGCGCTGGCTTTGCGTTTACCTTCATTAATTGGAAAGAAAAGATACATTATAACTATCAGAACTTAAAATTAAATGTCACATGGTAAGAGTAAGTTGGGAACCATTTTAGTTATCTAAAGCAAAACTCCTGCTGCTATTAAAATACTAAAGGCATGTTTGGTCCATAGTATAAGATAAGGTCTGATAGTATAAGACCTGATAGTATAAGGCCTGATTGTATAAGACCTAATTGAATTTTAATACTATCCAGCGTTTGGCACGGTATTGTATAAAATAATATATTGTATAAGATAATATCATCTAATATTTGGTAATGCACTGTATAATACTATATATGATAAAAATAAATATTTTTAATAAAAATATCCTTTAATAAAAAATTTATATAATTATTCAAAAAATGTCATATGATATTATTAATTTTTAT